TATTTATTTCCCTTAGGAATTCTATTAAAAAAGAATTGAATTTTTTATTGATAAATGATATAAATATGTATAACAATAATAATGTTAAGGTATAATACGAATTCGCTGGGTCATCGTTTTATAATATTATTATGTTCAGACACAGACGTATAAATGTTTGAAGGTCGACCATACAACATTATGGTATAGACACATTATGAATCATCCGTACGGAAAAAAACACAATGTTTAATACGTTTTTCTAATTTGTGTTATTGGTTCTCTTTCAAAAATCCAGCAGGAATATACGTATGAAAGCATACAATTATAATATTATATTAGAAATTACTAATTATATACGCGTAGTACCTACATAAAAACTATCAGTCATAAAAATGATAATTCTTCAAACAGTGGCTAAAATTATTAGGGAACAAAATAAACTAAAATCTGAACTATAGCCTAATTGTTTGTTTTTAGAAAAGTATTAAATCTCATTTAAAGACTTACAAAAAAAAACAAAAAAATAAAAGTACCCTATATTGTTAAGTAAAATTAAATACACAAGTGCTCATTAAAAACACGTACTACTCGTATATTATCTTGTCTAAAAAAAAAAAAACCATGTGGTCATAATTTTGTAATCATAATTAATTAAATTATATTTTCATGTTATTATTGTAATCCAGATGATGCGATAACGTTAACAATATATCAACATTTTATATAAAAAGAAAAACGCGAAACAGTACTTTATGCAACAATTTGAGGAAACATTCTTTTTTTATTTTATAAGTATATTAAATTAAATACTTTTATTATTTAGTTCAGAAGTTTCAAACATTTATACTGAATGTATATCTGCGGGAGACAAATGATACATTTATTTGTTTTAAAATTGCAGGGGAGATAGCGCTCCCTTTGCCACCACGATTTTTCCACTGGCTTCGATTACAATTTGTTTGCAATAATCATACATCCATATAATAATTATACAGTTAAAACACATTTTTATGTCATGTAATCATGATAGTGTTTTGTTGTATTTTATGTATATTATTTTTCCACGTCATTCTGTTTAGATGTTAGCACATGTAATATCACATTTTTTTTTTTTATTTCACGTGACTTGTTTATAAATTATTATTTTATTCTATTTATTACAGTGTACTATACACGGTGTACGAGGAATATAGGTACGTCAAGCATCGTCACAACATACACATAACACGCACGCTCGCACAGAAGCTCCTATTCACGGTGGCGTTAAAGGGCTTGTCGCATAATTTTTCAGACATGCGGACACAAACGTTACGGTTCGTTACAGCGGTATCTGCAGTTGGGTCTAAATGTATAATAATATATAGTGTACGATACCGACATGCATAATAATACCTATTCCGTTTATACTACATTGGCCAAAAAAAATTAACTCCCATATTTTGCTGTAAGTACAAAAAATAATATAATAACGACAATTATATAAAACTTGTATGTTGGATTAATTAACTTAACAATAGCCAGTGAACAAAAAATATAATTGAGCCAAGTGCGATAAAATATATCACGTAATAATATTATGGTAAACATGCTCAGAAATATTATCAGATACCTATTGTATCTGTTGTATCTATTCATATTTACGATAATTTCAAGGTACTCGATAGTAAATAAACACATGTATGGGTAAGTCACTAGATCAAGAAATTTGTGTGAACTTAGCTCTTTTACCCCTCTATTTATTCAAATCCATTCAAATATTTTAAAACAATAATATTTAGATTTTATTATTAAAATTAGTAAATATTTTGACTATAAAAAATGTCTTTATTTCTTTTATTTTTCATAAACGATCACCACTTGCTATTGTTTAAAAAATCTGATATAATATAAATTGTAATTTACGTAAGAGAAAAATTTGAAGTTGTTATACAATTATAATTTTTTTTTTCAATTGAGAACATAAAGGTATTAGGTATAAAATATAAACCTCAATAATTAAACTCGAATTTCAATTATGGTGATAGTATAGAACCCCATGAACTATAATTAATTTAATGCTTATAAGTACCTTAAGTTTCAAAGTAAGTGACGTAATATAGAATTAATACTTAAAAAATTTAAAGGCAAAGTAAATTTTTAAATATTATTGACGTATAGATATTATACTCGTAATTTTCAGTACATGTCACAAAACGCTATTACTGATCCATGTTGATTAATGAGAAAATAACACTGTGCACGAACCCTTCCAATTCGTATTGAAAAAAATTGTGATGATACTGATTTGTAATCGTTTTATTTTAATAGTTTTTTGGCTGTACATTGAGTAGAATTACGTTAAAATGAATGTTGTGATGTATAATTCACTTAATTAATACCAAAGAAAACGACACTAAAACACTTGCAGATCTTTTGTTAGCAAAAAAAAATCATTAACTTATAATTATAATTATGCTACATTATGACTACGCGAAACTTAACTATCTTAAACGAATATATTAATTTAAATACATCAACTCAATTAACAATTATATCGTTGAAGTACAATACGATGCCTTAACATATTAAAATATTATTTGAACTTTGAATCATATGTTGACAAAGGAAACAGTGTAATTGCATAATTTAAGATGATAACTTTTTATCGGTATGGTAAGGAGGATAATAAAGTTAAAGCGACAAAAAATGAATTCACTTGATTAAATATTAAATAAACTTTTTAAACAAAACTCGTTTATTTTTTTAGAAGCAAATAATTAAAAAATAGCTCGTTAAAATTAAAAAAAAAAAGTTTAAATTAACTCCGGTTTAAAAAAAGCTAGCTCGTTAAATCCAATCTTTAATCGCTGGTATATTATGTTACTCGTAGTATACATGAAGAAGTGGGCGTACTTTCAAATTCTCGCTGATGTTCCTTTTTTTTCTTTTTTTTTTTTATCACATTATCGTATTTAGAACGACAACGAGCTGTACTATTATGATGTAGGTACGAAAAGCTTATTTTTTTTTTTAAGCCAAAACAATAAATTATAATAATAAATGTTAATCGATGTAGGATTTCCGAAATAAAAAACGAGTACAACATAGCGTCATAGATATAACCAGTAAAATAATTAAATATAACAACTTTATTTATGAATAACCGAGATAAATTACAACGATTTTTTTTTTTTTTTTTTTATTTAGTTGACCCGCGGCTACTAAGGCCATTGGGTTTTTTTTTTTTTTTTTTTAAGTAAGGTTGGTTCGGTAGGTTGTATTTTTTACGATTGATACGGTTGATAGCAAACACGTGTATGTGTGGCAAGGTTTTTAACCACTATGATCCCGAATGGTCACCCATCCGAGAGCTAGTAGCTGTGGCCGTTACTTACTCCCAGTGGCATTCCGCAACTGGAAGCAGCCAACGCGCCACGCCAAGCCACAGCAACGATTTTAATATTACAAATAAAATACGTAATTATCTTTTGCATATTATAAATAATAATAGTTATAATATATAAATATGTAAAGGGTAAATTGCCCGTTAATATTATATTCTGTATGTTTGAATTAATATTATTAAGCTTAGAATACAATCCGTATTTTATATGTGTATAACTGTATAAGTATACAACAATCAAAGATATATAATACTAGACTCTCTAGAATTATTTTTTTTTTCAAAATAAATAAATAAATAATTAACATCTCGAAAATGTATTTTTTTCAAATGCGTTAATTCCTACAATACAGAGGTTATCAGATTTTAAATTACTATTTGAACGGAATTATACCAAAATATTGAGTTACCGTGTAATACTTAATAGTGAGGAAATACAAATAATAATAATAAAAAAAATTGTTAAATATTTAAATTTTACTAGGACACTACATTATTACTTGAATAATTTGATGATAAGTAGTTTTCATCAAATATTTATATTGCATTATTTTATAGATATATTGATTCATTATACTTCAGTATGTGATTCAATAAAATTATAGACTATGGTATCATCAATGATGGTGATCGATATGCTAAGTACTATTGCGATATATTATATTTTTATTAAGATATATTAGTTTTTGAATATTCTAGTATCTAGTATGTATAGGTTTTATGATAACTATTACGTATAATACGTATATACTGTCACATGCTGTTTTTTTTTTTTTTTTAATCTCCACAATTTTAAGTTGTATTGATCACGTTTGTTGATATTTATAACTTAAATATTAAATTTAACTGACGATTGTTTAAAAGTAAAAACAAATTGTTTCTAAAAGAACTTTGTAGAATTACATTTTCGTAAAGTAGTAATAATTTAAAATTATACAATTTTTTTGAATACAAATTATAATATATTTATATTATCAGAAAAATATTCAGTTTCTAGACACTAAAAATAAAATAAAAACTTAAAAAATAGAAACGGAAAAATAAATATACTTGTTTTTGTAATGAAATATAATTATGCAAAAAATTTATCTTCAAGAACGTTAATACTTTTTAAGAAAATAATATAAGTGTAAATGTATTGTTAAACTAAATCCTGCAAATAAAATATTCATTTCTACAATTTTTTTATTATTATTATTTTTTTTTTTTTTTTTTTAGTGTTAACTCAACAAAATCATGAGGTAAAACAACGATTTAAATAAAAACTGTTATAGCAAATATATTCTATATTAAATATTTTTTTTAAGTTATTATGAATCAGCTGTGACTTTTTAGTAGACAACAAATATTTATAAGTAAAATTACGATAAATAATTCTTTAGTTCCATTAAATTATTTACTGATAAATCAATTTATTTGCACAATTGTTTTCACAAACACTACAATGATAAGTATGTTATAATTTTTTAGAGAAAGGGTTGCGTGGAAACAAAATTGGGTATGAGGAGAAGGATGAAAAATTAAGAAAGCATGAGGAATGATGCCCCTTAACCACCATTCACCATTTCTACCACTGCTTATAGTGACTACGCACGTATATGTAATAATTTGTATGGTCATAATAGGTTAAACATACGTTGCACATTGACATTTTGCCATCGGCGTTGCGTCGTCGTGGCGGCTCGCCAGTCGAAGGTAGGGGTGCTGTGGTTTGGCCTTGTTTGTACAGCTGCCATCCCTTGACGTAGAGATCGCCAGCGAACACGATCCGACCGCCGCCGGGAACCGAGTGTCTGCGTCTCGTCGACTGCCACCTGCACCACAACAAAGGTCGACGGACCACTGATAATTACTAAGGCTTTTGCGTATTTTCCGCCGCAAGCAGATGACGTTAAATTAGATTTACGACGAAAAACCCACTTTCACCCCGTACGTTGCACCGTTGAAACAGAACAATATAATATATATATATACATATTATGTATATACCAATGAAACTAACCTTGCAATATGCTACTAAATACAACAGTAAAATACAAAATATGCAAACTCGATGGTTAGGTTATTTAGACATATATATTGTTATCTTAAAACGCTAAAACGCTACGAATGACTCGTAACATTAAAAAAAAAAAAAAAATGTAGGTTGTTACACAATTTATTGCACTATTAATGGAGCTTTGCATGGGAGGCTAATTTTGTAAGCTGCGGCTTTTTGTATGTGACTCATTTTAAATTTTGTATTTTAGTTAATTATTCTCATATATACAATTCCTATAAATTGTACGTATTAAAAAGTTATATTCTCCTAAGATATATAAAGAATAATTTACTTTAAATAAAATTAATATATTATCATAATACTGTTAATTTCAAATGAATAAGAATAAAAACAATGGTAGAATAGCCCTAAAAGCCCCGTGGTTCATGAGAAATGAACAACTACACAATTATACAGGCCTACTATACCTATCAACTTGGATAACACAACAATTTAACCTCTTCCCGCATAGAGGCATCAAATGGTGCCATATATATTTATTTTTATTAAAAATCAGCTTAAATTATAACAGTCTTCATATATCATTCTACATTATGATAACATAGTAATGTTTATATTTTACTAGTATAGGTAGCGCTAGTCATATTTAAAATTGGTAGAAAATGACTAAAAACAGAAAGACTACAGCTTTCCAAAATTACTACAAGTCATCCACTTTAGACAATTTTTTTCATACATAAAAATCAAATAAACTTTTCGAAAAAAATATTTCTGAATAGATTTATAACTTTTGTTTAAGATAATATTAATTAAAACCGGTTTTGGTAAATGGAAGAATTTTTATAGCGAGATTTGTTGATGGAAACATTTGGTGCCAGCCCGATTTGGTGGATGTATTTTTTCAATCAATTTTATGACGTTTTGTCTATTTACGTACAAACTATTGCATGTCTTTACATGCGTCTTATTTTTGTTTTTATTTCATCTATGGATTTTAAATTGTTTCCATTATTATCAGTACGTTGTGTTGTTGTACGAGTAAAGTATTGTTTATTTGGTCTCATAAATATATATTTTTTTTCAATAATTTGTGAAAATGTCTAAATTAAATGAACATACTATTGCGGATTTGTTGGATTTTGAAATGGATGAAGACGAAATGTCTATACCTTCTGGGTCTGAATTTTCTGACCAAGAAGAGGACGAAGAACATTTTTTCAGTGAGTTTGATGTACCAAATTATAATACTGATAATAATTGTTTCGATGATATTATGGATTGGCCTGTAGAATGTGTGGAAAATACAGACGTACTTCCCACATCTACCAATAACATTCACGTAGATCAAAATCCTATTATTATAAGTGTCCCTCATATTTCATTACCTAACCTAACAAGTAGGTAAATTTTAAATTGTAAAATTTTTAAAACGATACAAGTAAAACTTTTTTTTTGTATGTAAATTAATTTTTTATTTCAAGCTATAAAATAATTAACTAACAATTTTAAAATTTGGAATTTAATTTTTTTTTATATTTGATGTATATGTATGTTATCATAAAATAATTAATCAATTAATACTTCTTTTGTTTTATAATAATAAAATTTAAACATATTTTATACACTATTTATTTATTTGTTTGTGGTAATGTAGTTGAGTACTTCAAAACGGGATGGCACCAAATGTTGCCGGATTTTGTTTTTTAAATATCTTTTTAAATAATGTTTTGATATTTTTTTAAGTATTTTTTTCGAATTCTACGTCAAAATTTACATATAGGTACATTTTTTTTTTGTTAATAAAAGAAATCATGCATGAAGAGGTTAAAAGTTTCCACGAAAAACTCCACAAAGCTGACGGAACACTCCATTATAAAATTGGTAGATCCTTCAACCTAAGGTTAAAACCACGGTTACCACAGGACATCCTACTTGACACCTCAAATTCAGATTCTAAACCAGAACTAAATCCATAAACCAATCAAATTAAAAAGGATTGTAATTATTGTATGTAAAATTGTAATTTATAATTGATAATTAATTTATAGTTAATATTATAAAAATACTTAGTGTATTAACGCAATTAATATAATAAATAATAATAATAAAAAAAAACAGTTGATATAGATTTCAACTTCGAAATTGAAATTGAAATATGTAGATTTTTATAAAACATTCACATTTAGGTATTACAAACTTTAAGTTTAAAAATAAAGGCTTTTATTGGTAATACCTAACTTAAAATGTATTTATATAATAAAAATATATCTACCTAAATTAATAAATAATTGGTCGTGAATATACAATAATATTATATATATTTATTTGTTTTAAAAATATTCATATTATTATTTAGGTTTAATACATATTGTGCTTTAATTATTGGGTTAATTAGTAAAAAACGCAAATAAATATTAATAAAAAAAAAAAAATGACTTTTAGGTATCTTATAATTCATATAATTTGTACTTTACTTCAAATACGTCATTTTTGGTCCATTAATTAAAGCTCTTTACGCTATTTTTCTTATATAAATTAAAACTAACTGTTGCTGAATTAAAAAATGTGTATCTTATATACTCATATAATTATGAGGGACAACAAAGAGAAATGTTTTAGTATTTTTTGATGAACCGAATAACATTGATTTTTATTAAATTTTAAAAATTTTAAAGTATACTCGTATACAATTGATTGTTAAAAAAAATATATTATATATAAATCAATAAGAGCTCAATTTTTTAAGAACGTATAAATTGATTTGTTATAATAAGAGATCCGAATTTGAAGAAAAAATACGGTATTACATGTCATAAACACTTAACCGTTGTTATTGTTGAATCATTGTTATTATAATACAAATATGAACATTTGTTGAATACTTTCGTGTTATTAAAAAGTAAAGATTTAACCCTTTATATACTAAGTATATAAAATAATAGAAATTTAAATTTTCTTAGCGCAATTAATCGTTTTGATTTTTGATTTTTTTAAAACATACCTACTTGATAAATGAGGTTATATCTGAGTAATTTTAGGAGTTAAATAAATAGGAGTAAGTCCCTTGATAATTTGATCCATTTAAAAGATAGATTTAAATTCCAAATGGCTCATAACGATTTCAAAATTTTCTTATTTATAATGTTAAAAATGGTAAAACATTTTTTATTAGATTTAGATATAAATTAATTGACTAACAAAAATGTTTCAATAATTAAATTTTATTTACAAGTTGAACTTTAAAAAAAATATATGACAATACTAAAATTCAAATAAATAATTTTTTTTTTTAAGTTTGGAACTTCATTAGACATGATAATTAAATTAAAAAATCTTTAATATTAAATATGTGATTTATTAATACAGGCATTAAAATAAAGACCACATAATATTTTCATGATTAAAATCAATTAACCAATCATAATTTCAGAAATATCTAACAACAATTTAATATCTTCCTCTGTACAACTTTATTTATTTATTTTTAAAAATTAAAAAATTAATAAATCAATACTATGATAAATCATAAATAATACAACTTTAACGCGCACGAGCGTAATAATGAACTATAATAGTTCGTGCTGCACATGACAGAATTATAAGAAAATGTATAATATTAACATGTAACATAATATTATCCAAGTGGCTAACAGGAGTTAGGACCTTAACGTCAATTTCAGTTATTGCTAAGAATATTGTATTTATGATAAAATTAAATACTATATAAATACACGAATTTGTTTTTGCTTGATATGAAAATTATATGACATTAATCGGGTTTCTATTTATATCTGTGTACAATGTAAACATTTCTAAAAATATCGAAATACTTTTTTTTTTATGATTTTATTACCTAATAATATCGTATATTAAGTTATATTTATTAGATCTACAGAAAAATATTTCAACTTCACCCAATAACAAAAAAGAAAGAAAGAAAAAATTAGAATATTTCGGCTATTTTACAACGAAAACATTATTATATGCTTAAAAGATATATTGAAATATTATTTGTAAGTATGAGTTTTTTATTACATCTTGTAAAATAAAATATTTTTTAATGGAAATGTATGTTTTATAAAAGTTGATTACATATTTATTTCTTCTATTGCGTATTATATAACATTAACAATGTTATATATAATTATGCGTATAGGTACATACATAAAAAATAATATATTAACTATTTTTGTGAAAATAAATTTTATTTTAATTAGCAGTTTGTACGAATACGATTTTCTTGAGAATTTTTTATAAGATAGGTACTTTTGGTAAAAAATGTATTTATGTATATAACAATAAAGTTAGAATGATATTTTATTAAGTTTTAACAAAAACATTTTTCTTTCAAAATAAATATTATGTACCTTTTTATATTAAATTCAGGCCACATAAACTGAATTTAAAAATGCATGATATAATCTAGTACTACTTTTTTTATTTATACGATCAATCGTTTAAATTAATTAAAACCATTTTATTTCCAAGAATATAATTATGTTTACTATAGATACAAAAATAACGGTTCAAGATAGTAATAAATACAAAAAAAAAACATTAATAATTTATTTATATTAAATTATCATTGATATTGTTACTTATTAAAGCTATTTGCGAAATAAATCTATCCCAATGGTACTTTAAAGTTATAAAATATTTGTAATCATTAATGTGTGTTCCAACTAAAACTATTTCTATTTAATTTAAAACAAATATCTTACCATGTTATAAGTCTGTAAACTCTGGATCTTTGTCCTCGATCTCTAAGTACGCGGGCCAAACCCAAAACAGACTCCCTGTGTTCCATATTCACAGCCATGGCTCTTTTATAATAAATTAAAGCCTCAGCCATACGACCTGGAAAACAATTATTTAATCAAATATACCTACTCAAATATGCTCGTAATTGTTTTCAATAATAAATGCGATTCATAAATAGATATGCATTAGTATTTAATATTTGTATCAATTAAACTAAATTAATTAGTATTAAATTCCATTTAACCTAGTAAAATATGTACTGTGAAACATTTTAGATTGATTTCCATGCGTTTGGTTAGTTAGATGGCTACTTATTCGACGAAAAAAAAACAAATTTTTTATAATTTAATATTATTAACTACCATGTTAGTAAAAATAGTATTATTTTTTAATTTACTATAAGTGCCTTTTCCCTACTTCTTTTATAACAATTTTTATTATGATTTTATTTTTAAAAAGAGATGACATGTTTCTTACATAATAAGGCTTCATTACAATATTGGCCTTACTTTATATTCGATTACATAAGAGGCTTTTCTATAAGAAATAAGGTTTATTTCTAAATAAAATAATTCCATTGTCGGATTACAACAAAACGGGAAAAGGTAAAACGTACCTATCATCCTTTACAATAGGATTTTTTTTTCCCAAAGATAGTTTACATTGAAGAAGCCAATTATGTGTTTTTGATGTTTTTTTGGTTAAATATAAACGACATCCATTGTTCATAAATAACATAATATTAACTCTGAGGTAAATTTAAATGATTCAAATTAAAGTAAATAAATAAAAATATTACAGTTTATGTTTGAATGGTTATTTATTTGTGTTTAATAGTGATATAATTTATAATATGATTAAAAAAAAAAAAAAAACAAGTCTGTTTGTGGTTTAATTGGTTATAACTTATAAATTTTTAACTGTAAACATTTTTTTTAAGCTATTTAAATGTGTCTTGGCGCTATTATCATAAGAATCACATAAAGTTGTTAATTAATTATTAACAGTAAACCTTAATAAGCGTTCATTTTATACAGTACTCATCTAAGGGTCTAGATATAAAATGATAAATAACATTGAAACTATTTTATTTTTTAAAAATACCTAATTTCCATCATACATATTGTACAATATTAAACGATATAATTATATAAATAGTTGTACTTACGGTTATCACGAAGCCAACGAGCATAACGAGCTTGATGTTCTGGGTGTTTAGGCTGGTAGGCGGCAACGTGTTTTAACAGTCGCCCAGTTTGGCTTCCGGTATGCAATTTGGCCAATAACAAGTACGCAGCTGTGTAACCGTTATTTAACATAAGACATCGTTCCAACATAGTCACTGCATCTTTGGTCCGATTCATCAACCTAACGTATATCAAAAGTATAATATTCATACATGTGTGTGTGTTTAATTAATAATAAAGAGTAATATTAAAAATAACAATAATAGTAGACTTTTTAAAGAAATAATAATGCATCCTTTCTTTACAAAGTTCTTGAAAAAATCTACTTTGAAATTCGAAAAACTATAAATTTAAGTTATAAAAAGGTTTAATATGCAATATTCTAAAGACCCACGTGAATTCAGTTTACAACTCCCTTCTCCTTTCAAAAAAAAAAAAAAAATAATAAGGATTATATTTAAGGACTTTTATAATTATTACCTATAAACTTGACCCAAATTGTAATGAGCGTTGACGTGCCCTGGCGAGTACCGGATTGCGGCCAAAAAATGATGTTCAGCATCCCTAGACCTTTCCATCAGCGTGCCTAAGTTGTTGTGTGCACTCGCATAAGACGGCCATAACCTAGAGCGTAAAAATTACAAAAGTAAAGAATATTATTGTATAAAAATACAGTAGTTTTAACAGAAACAAAAATTCAAGCAAATAGTTTATAATTCTATAATTTCTGTTGATGTTAGTTTTAATTAAATTCTTAAAAACAATTTGACACATACAAGGCATAAAATATTATTATACTCCAAGTTATATCATGTGTGGACATAACTTCAAAGAAAATATAATTTATTTGTTAAAATCTGAGTTATATTATAAATTTAAGACTCGATTAAAGTATAAAAATTATAAAAAAATTATTTTATTCGTCAAGAAACAAAATAAAAATATATTTTTAAGTATATGTATACTATATAGTGGATATGTTTTTATTTATTGAGAGCAATACTGGTGAATCCACTGCTATAGATGAAGACATTATTTTAAAAATAAAATAAAATATAATTTGATAGTTTTTCTTTTAATATTCATTCACCTTTATTTTTTATTAAATAGTGAGTAAGACAATTTTTTATCGAGAACGCCGAGTTTTAAGTGAACTTTTTCATTAAAAATTTCACGACACGTCTTACGCGCCATTACGCCATACAAAATATAATATTTTTACTATACAATAATAGAACACCGACTGAGTTTTTTCGTTCTGTTTTCGTTTTTACACAGCAGACACGACTCGAACATTTGGCCGAGCGTCACAGTAATAATATTATGCAAGTAAGAATAAAACATGTCGTCTGTATCCGACACGACTTACTATGTATAGGTACATCGTATATTCACCGTCATCGTTGCCTGGTTGACTACTACGGCGGCAACGACAACGAAGAAAATCGATTTGTCTCGCGCTGTTTGTCCGCGACTCTAATGGAAAAAGTGTCATCGGCGAAATCCAATTTTGGACTCGTCACAACAATACCACACACAAACACACACAACACACACTCTTATACTGTGTTTTTTTGCCATATGTTGACATAGTATTCCTCTCCATCTGCGAGCAGTGAAAAACCTCTTTACACTTGTTTGCATAACCAAAGTAGCAGTTTGAATGCGCGTGTGTATATCATATCAATTCGCTTATCGGTTTTGATCTCCATATAATGCTTATCGAGAAAAAATAAAAATAGAACGAAATGCAAACCGTTTGTGTGCACTATATCAACATAATAATAATAATATGTAATATGTTAACCCAAAAATCTCTTGTTCGACAGCACGCCTTTTCGTGTTTATGTCATACGCACACATATAACTACACATGTCTCGTTCGTCATTTCGTGATATTCCGTCGACGTCATTAGAAGGTTGACATAAATGATGGTATATACAATATATATAATCCAATATCAAACACGCAGAATATTACGTTATGTTCACGAGGCGACAAGTACGACGTCGCAAACGAGCCGATACGATAAAAAAAAATGTCTGTTCACCCTATCATCGGCGCTCTTTTTTTTTTTTTTTTTTTTTTTGACACTCTGTATACAAAATATTGTACATAAAAATTATTATTATAATATTCGCCTGCACCATAATCCTACCACTAAAGCTCTCGTCTCCACCACTATGAGTCTGTTCCTGGTTCGCACACATACACATTGCGTATATATTATACGGCGTGTAAGCAGGTTAAATCTATAATTTTTGTGCTTTTTTTTTTCGTTGAAGACCAAAAGAGTGATGGATGACGTGTAATAATTTCAAAGGGCCAACTCTCATAAAATGGGTCGTTTCATCTTTTTTTAAGCTCCGTGTTGACTGAGCGTTTTTACACGGTGAATGAATAGTTTAATATAAGTGTCCACACCAGATGGGTTTTGTCGAGGTGTAAACGACCGTTTTTTATATAAATCAGCAAATTTAACATGCATGTGATTTTTGTTCGTCATCCTTGAACCACATGCATCTACTAATTTCAATCACGATTTTATCTAAAAGGAGCTCAATTTATTATTATTATCACGAGTGATGGAAATTAAATCATTTAACAAGTATGATCGTGGAGAGGAATTTTTTATAAGTCACAGTAAATAAACACAGATCTTAGAAATTATAAATTTATAACTAGTACCAAATTTTGCTTGTTGTACGTAGCTCTATTTCTAAACAGTAGATAATATTATTTATTTTTTTCACGTTAATATTAAAATTAATTTTAAGTATAACTTCTATAAATAATATTTTTATATTATAGTAATCAACTATTGTGCAAGACTAAAAATATAATAATAATAATGTAGAATAAAAAACACAATATTTTTTTGCATCTAACTATTCAGTATTGTGAGTTGTAACAAAATAATTCTAAATTCTGTTTGAATTTATTGTTTAAGGTTTTCACTGAATTTTTAATATCATGAAAAAAATGCGTAGCAAGATGAATATGAAAATTTAAAATGTACCATGAAGACGTGTACCGTTGATATAACCAACACATGTGCCACATCTCACACAAATAGCTTTTATCGGAGTTCTAATGATAATATATTATACTTTTATTAGATTTTATCACTAGAAACCAACCATTTATTAGGATATTACATAATATCATTCAAACTTCATTTTTTTTTTTTTACTATTCTAAATATTTAGTTTGAATCAAAAGCTTCAATATATGTATCTATAAATATATAGTTTTTTTCCTAAACATATAATATATCGTTATACGTTGAAAATTGAATACGTAATATATCCATTGGGATCTATTTCTTCCTTCTTTTTAGTCTTTAAAGTTGCATATTATTCATTCGAGGTTTTTTCCTATTTTTTTTTTTTTTTATCTGGCACGCAATGCGCCGCATATTTCCGGTACGTAATAAAAGTTGAAAAAGCGTAAATGTGAATGTATTTTTCAGCTTCTGTGGTTTCCTCTCTATACCTCTTGATTTCCACACACTTGGGCGTATCCGTATGTTTATGAACTGTCCGTCTACACATACGCACTCGCGCGTAATCCTCCTAGGCGTGGCCTATGTTCAACTTATAAATACGAATTTGTTGCCGACGGCTTATTTTATTCACAACCCTCAGCTATGCAGCACACGAACATATATTTTCTATAATATATACACACACATTACTCACGTCTCACACTTTCGCGTATATTATATTATATACAAGCATACACGTGCTGCCATTGCATTGCGTAGTAATTGAAACCGTGGTCTGGTAACATACGGTGTGAACACGCAGTGCCTGAATAGTTTTAATGCATTGCTATATTTTTTGTGTTAATCAAATATAAGATCATTTTATTTATATAATAGTAATTACTTACAGTATGTCAATCAAAAAATTAAGTATAAAAATTATGATTTAAAAAACACTCGAATAATATTATTAGTAAATACTATAATTTATTCCATAATATTATTATTATCATTATATGTACCGTGTATATTTTTTCTAATAAAACATAATATTTTTACGATAAAATGCTTACTTTACTTTTTTTTCGAATGTATCAAATTATCATTTATGTTTAAATATAGTAAAACATACTTATACTAATAGGAATTGGATCTAAACTAAAAATATTAGGTAGTTCCTACTAGGCCCTAAGAATATTGAAAACCGAATCCAGACCGTAACCAAAGTTAAATATTTTTAAATAACTAGAATCTATATTATATTTTTAAAATTAAAAAAATATTGTAACTATTTAATACTGGATTTAAACGGAGCCATAATCTTAACTGTGAATTAATATTTTTTAAAACTGAAACCGGAATTAAAATCATTTAATACAACGATCTAGTACCAACACTAGAACTAAAACTTTATAAACTATTCTTTGCTGTATATTTAACATCAATAATATGATAAATAACTAATTTAAATAAATAGGAATGGTTTATTCAGTTATAAGTTATATTTTATTTTAGGAATTTAAAAACACACCCAAATCGCTGCTTTTAATATAATTTTATTTTTTTTAAACCATTTTGACAGTTAAATTCAACTATTAAAATATTGGTTTAAAAGATTAAAACGGTTATGAAAAATATAAATTATGTAAAAAATAAAATAAATTATACAGACTATCTAGATAAGAATATGTTTTGGATATTGAAGTGGATAATATTGGATTTAAAATCAGGTGAAAAATGTTTACATTGTGGTGATAATTTAGAACAGTTTAAAATGATATGGGTAATATAATAATCTTTAGGATTGTTAAGTAATATGAAATTGAATGAAAGCTTATACGGATTGAAGCAAGTATAGCGTGGCCAAATAAAAGATGAAGGAATGGTGTAATGTGTTTCCTAGAGAGATTGTTTTGAAACTAATGTTGAAGTGAAAAATACCAAATGAGCAATAGCAAAATAAGATGGGAAAGTTTATCAGTGATTAAATTATAATTAGGTTATGTGTTGGAGAATTAACCATAACAATTTTATTCTATCGCCTGATTCTATAAGTAAATTTTATAGACATTATAAATTAGTTATCAAAAGAAAAAAGTTGTGATTTGAAATTTGAATAAGTTAGAGGAAAGAGACTGAAAACAGTAAAATGAGTCTATGATTAAAGAAAAATTAGAGATGTTTTTAACTTTCATAATTTTGTTAATTCATAGCAATATTTAAAATTAGAATAATTGCATTACTTTAATATATCTATTACTAACTATTACTCTAATTAATTTAAATTATTATTATTAAATATGTTTATTACTTTTTCAATAGTTATTACAAATATTGACTACAATAGTTACTAACCCTGCTTATTTTATGTTAAAATATGTTTGAATTATTCTATTAAATTTAATATTAAAATAATAAAATGCAAAATTTAATATATTTAACTGAAATTTAATATATCAAAATAAAATAAGGTCAACGGAAATGAACTCATATCTATACGTATTACGAAGCTCATGTTCGTTTATCTAGTTTCCATTGCCCTAGGGAAAAATAAAACCCCCCTGTATTTAAAATGAGGTGGATTTTTTAGTTTATTATTTATTATTATATTTCGTATAGAAAAACACTGTGCTTGGT